GTGGGAATCTGCGTTTGCATGGTGCTGAAACCCCATATTTCGGCACAGCGTGCAACGATTAATGCGAAGAATGGCACCGATGTGAGAATTGCCAACCATGGTACCGGTATTCTCTTCTTATGGAAATCTTCCTCACGTTTCAACGACGTTTCAATGTACTGGCATTCCTCCTTTGTTATAAAACGAGACTCTGGCGGATTATTAGCAGCCAGTATAAACCACAGTGCGCACCAAACAAAACATAAGCCACCTGAGATATATGAAATACCGGGCCAACCTAGTGGACTACTGGCTATCAAACCACTTACAAGCATAGCCAAAACATTGCCACAATCCATGCCCGAATAAGTGAGCGCGCCGATCGTGTTACGTTCCGCTGGCGGTGCCCATTTGGCAATATGCTCATGAATAGCAGGGAAGAGTGAACCCTGAAAGAGACCCTGTATTGTACGAATGGCGCAGTATACCTGCCAGTCTCCCCACGTCACCAGTAATGGTATGAGTAAGCTGAATATCGCTGATCCAAGCGTGCAAACGAACATAAGAATCTTTGTACCAAAGCGTTTACTCAAGTAGCCGCCCGGTAATTGTGGTAGTACATAACCCCAGTAGAAACTGGATATGATGTAGGACTTCTGTTGTGTGGTCCAATCAAATTCCTGAAAAAAAAAATATTATTTTTATGTGAGATGACTCTGAATCTTTTTGGATACGGTTACCTGAAAATTGGCATTTGTACTTTCGGCATTTGTCATCGCTACTACAGCTACGGATACATTAAAGCTACTCATGCCAACAAAAGCTATGTTAAGAAAAAGCAACATAGTCTGGACATGGCGGGTGCCAAAACGAGGACCTAAAAATGAAATATAAACAAATTGAGAGATTTTAATCCGCAAGATGCTAGTACTACTTTTGAGGTGACACAGACTAGAAGGTTAGTCTATAAATTTAAGTATTAAAAATATACTAAGTAGTTGTTACCACAAAAGGCACACAGACTGAACATTGCAGATATCTTGAATATCGTTGAAATGAAGCGATTGATATACCTACAAGGGATGCCAGTTCCGGGATACCGGTGTTTTTGAGCTCCCTAAAATCCCACAAAATGCTACACAATTTTCAAACTTCCTCAAGTCGAAAAACTTATAATTTATCCGACGTGCTGGTAAAAGAAGTTCAAATATTTAGTAATGGAAGAGATAGGGATCATTACCTTCAAATGGATTATGACTACCTTTTGTTTGATCAACCTAAAAGTTCTGAGGCCGAAATATGCTTTTTCATCAGCAGGTTTTGTGAGAATCAATTTTAATGCTTTGCTGCTCTTACCTACACATTTTAAGTGCAATAATAACAACACCGGCACAAAAAAAGATATGTGCTTTTAGCCAAACCCAATTACCAACATGAACGTCGACCTGCTGAATCTGATTGGACTGGTACACCCTAACAAATTTCGAGTGGATTGCGAAAGAATGGCAAAAATCGCTATTCGCCATTTCTTTATGGATTAGAATAAACATATTCAGATAATTTGTTTTTGTATATTTTTGTTTCATATTTTTTTAGCCGACTTCACAAAAAGAAGAAGGTTATGGCTTCGTCGGAATATTTATTTATTTATTTATTTTTTTATACCCGAGGACACTAGTGCACTAGGTTGTTTGTAACAGCCAAAACGAATCGAGATAGATATGGACAAATTTATACATAAATTACCAGAATGAAAAGATAAGTCGATTAAGCCGTGTCTGTCCGTTGGTCCGTCCGTCTGTCCATGTACACGATAACTTGAGCAAAATTTGAGATATCTAAACGAAATTGGTATGTAGGTTTCCCTTTAACCAAGACAGGTTGGTATTGAAAATGGACGAAATCGGATTGTAACCACGCCCACTTCCCATATAACGGTATATTCGAAAAATGCAAAGCCTGCGATAATTCAGTAAATATTAGATGAAAATTGTCGAAAATTAGTATGTGGAGTAGAATTGTGGTAAAAAAATAATATTGTTCTGAAAATTTTGGAAAATGGGCGTGACCCCGCCCACTTATGATGAAATGCTATATCTCAGTAGCCGCTTCACCAATTCTTACCAAACTCAGAATGACGATACGCGGTTTTGTACTGTAAGCGACGATATGTATGTTTGTTTCACGTTGTGACTCATTTTAAAATTTAAGGGTCCATTCATTATTGGGTTTTTCTATGAATTTATATCAGAAGTTATTATTTTTAGTTATTTGTTTTGTTTTGTAGTAGATTATCTAGTGAAAAAACATATGTACTTATAGATAAGATATTCGTTGGATTTTTTAAAATTAGTTTTTGTTATCTTTGTGATATTCTCAAATTAATATTTGGAATTGAATTTTCTAATTTAAGTACACAAAGTAATCATGCGCCGACAAATAGCATAAACAGGATGCAGTACGTCAACTGCCAAAAAAATCATTCGAGTCGAAGTATTGAAAATGATGGCATAAGTCGCTGGCGGAACGTAGCTAACGTCCATTTATCGCTGGACCGTGAGTGGCATGCGTCCCAAGGAGTTTGAAAGTCATCTGTGCAACCTGATGCCCGGTTGTCTTTACAGCGGGATAAGCATAATGCTCTAAGGGAAACAAAATCGTCTGAAGATATACAACTCCGACTAGTACCGACCGAATTTGACACAATAATTTATGGAATAATATATATGCACGTTTATACGGATGGCCAAATAAAGAACAATTTGCAGTGAAATAAGACACAACATTTGGTTATAAAAATGTATAAAAATTTTCATTAGAAGCTCTAACATAACACAAATACTATTAGGGTCCGCTACGCTCCTGTTCCTCCACTATACCTAGACAAGGTGGCCACAGCAATAAAATAGAAAGAACAAAGCCCCTTCAACACACGATTTATCGGTTGAACTATTCAAAACCCACAGAAAAGAGTCCGGTCGGTAGATTACAGTACCAGACTTAAAGCATAATTTGTTCTGTTGAATCCATGCCCGATGATTGGAATCGCAGTGTACTTTGTCCTATCCACAAAAATGAAGATCTTGCTGTTTGCACCAATTACCACTGAAGCTGTTTATCATTCTATCTTATCAGTGTGTGCTTCCGACCTAATGCATAAGTCCACCATTGATCACCTTTTTATAGCATGCCAAACCCTGGGGTTGGATTCTGTAACTGTGAGAGAATGTAGTGTACACCGAATACAAAACTCACAACTAAAAACTCAACGAATAAAATTCAATGACTTTTTCCGGAGGAGAAGTGTGCACAATTTTTACAGCTAAAACTCATTCTCACACTTCCTGAATCGCAAAAGGAAGGAGTGTACACTTGATAACTCATAGTTACAGAATCCTGCCCATGGATAAGACACTGGTTAAGCAAATCAACACACACTATCTTTTAGTCGATTTTAAATGTCACAAGAAAGAGCTCAGTCAAAATCAAAATGTTGGCATCAAATTTTTATTTAATTTTTTTTTTCGAGAGGCCAAGAACTCTTGTAATTCCTCAAATATTCTGTTAACCTTTCTCTATTTTTGCAGTGCTCAATTCTTCACTCATTTTCCAGCGTTTTTGCTACGCGTCAAGATTTCATTCATCAATAACTGCTTTTCGTCACAAAGCTTTATCGCGAATTTTAGTATTTTTAGAACTACACTATTTGCTTGCTATAAGCTAACTACTTTGGCCAAGAGCCGATAAGTTACTGACAAAATTATATTGTTTATTAAATAGACTAGCTCCAGTTTAGTGGATTTTTCAAAAGCTGATTTTCGCGTTCAACAGACGGGCGTTAGCACAAAGGAAGGTCAAAGATTTTGAGTCGTATGGTAGAGATAGGCATACCGATAAGATGCTTTGGTCTTTAAAAGTTCTTTCAACATGCGTTGGCACCGTACAGTACTATAAACAGGAAAGCAATCGTTTTTTTTTTTTTTTTTAATAAAATAATTCGAACATTAAGTTGGCTTTGATTAAACAAAAAACGGGAATTCATTGTCTTTTAGGCACTGTTATAAAAACTATAAGCTACCTGCTGTCGAGCGTCGTCATCGATGCCAGCCACAAGCCAAGCCAGCGCAATCGTATGCACACTAAATTTTTTTAGAAATCCTGATTAAAAATTTGACAATTTTAATAAAACTTTCTTCTTTCACATCTAAGGTTTCGACGTACAT